CATACACTTCCATTTTATACAATTAAGGGATTGAAGTGTTGACATATGTGAGATGTCGTTGATACCTCGGTAACATTGGTAGTGCAAAGCTAGGCCCCGGCCCCCAACAGTGACAAAAATATCGCCTTTCAAGGGGCTAAGTCCTTCTGCAAGGCATTCGAAAATGCATTGTGAGAATAGAATAGGACATCCATTTTAGAAAAATTGATATGATTCTGATATGCAAAGTTCAGAGTAATTGGTATCTGCTTTCCATGTTTCATCGGAGCTTGCTGTGTGGAAAATCAATTGTACACAATATTAAGATTACAAAAAAACTCACGCGGCAACACATTACGAAGCTTGGAAAAACAGAATAAATATTGTGATTGCCAAATTAGTTGAAGGAAATAAGGGGTTATAGAATTGTGATACTTGTGTGAGGACTCCCATAGGAAATAATGTTCTTACTCGATGGACGTACGTTCAGAGGCGTGCGCATCGGAGGATACCACCAATACGACCAGCCTCGCCGATTCCAACGTCAAACAACTTAATCAACCCATACTTTGTCTTTGGGAACATGGAAATGACGCAATGAATCACATAGCAATCCTTGTGCGGCTGCTACGACAGTGGCCAGGGTTTGGGTTATCCGGAAGGAAACTTGGGTGCGACTGCTACGCATTTTCTGCTGATTGCAAGAACCGCAACGACCAGACGATGACTGAAGTGAGCAAACACGTTCAGGTTCTTTTGGCATAGTGAGTGGCATCCTATTCCTAGCTACAAACAGTTTGAGGCCAAACAGACGGCGGCATCACAAATAGAGAGCTGAAATAAATTGCAAAAGCAGAAGAACAACTTAATATAATCCAATAGATCAAGCAAAAATAATCAAAACAAACTTTCTGTGTGTTCTTCCACTGAATAGTTGGAGTGCTTTAGTAGCAGTATCGAACTATCGATATATTAGATGCCGCTGTCAGTTCTGAACTTATGAATTATGATAGTATAGGCGGCCTCTCTTGGGTTTTGTCACACAAGCAGAAACAAAGAGAAGAGAAAAACACAACAAGCAGCAGCGAGAATGAAAAACGCTGGAGGGTAGCATCACTCACATGAGCCTGCTATGAGCCTGTGACCGTGACGGTGCCCATGCCGCCCGTAGCCCCACCCGGCGTCCTGTTCCTCCATGGCTCCATCACACACGACGGCTACATGTACATCCACGCGAAGGGCTCCAACCTCACCATCATCCATTGCTTCCTTCGTCTCCTATTCCATCCACCGGCCAACAGCCGCTCCCATCGCTGTTGTTGCGACTGGGATGATGTGTGTTGTAGGCTTGAAATCCTGCTTGCACAATATGGGGCACTCTAAGACAGTACATTACACATCCTACAGGTGCAAGCCGTGATCCGCACCGTCGGGAGCGAGTCCACGATGACAACGGCGCCGACGCTGATGTGGACGGCCACCTCGCAGTCGACGCTGATTCTGGCGAGGGCAAGGGCATGCCTTGGCGAGGTGGCGACACCGTCATGGTGCGGGTGTTGGGTTTCGTAGTAATTTCAAAAAAATTTCCTACGCACACGCAAGATCATGTGATGCATAGCAACGAGAGGGGAGAGTGCTGTCTACGTACCCACGCAGACCGACTGCGGAAGCGTTGACGCAACGTAGAGGAAGTAATCGTACGTCTTCTCGATCCAACCGATCAAGTACCGAAACTACGGCACCTCCGAGTTTGAGCACACGTTCAGCTCGATGACGATCCCCGGACTCCGATCCAGCAAAGTGTCGGGGAAGAGTTCCGTTAGCACGACGGCGTGGTGACGATCTTGATGCACTACAGCAGCAGGGCTTCGCCTAAACTCCGCTACAGTATTATCGAGGAATATGGTGGCTGGGGGCACCGCACACGGCTAAGGAATAGATCGCGTGGATCAACTTGTGTGTTTCTGGGGTGCCTCTGCCTCAGTATATAAAGGATTAGAGGGGGGAGGCTGGCCAGCCACAGGAGGCGCGCCAGGAGAGTCCTACTCCCTCTGGGAGTAGGACCCCCCCCCCCCCAATCCTAGTTGGAATAGGATTCCTTGAGGGGGGAAAGAGAGAGAGGGGGCCGACCACCTCTCCTAGTCCAAATAGGACTAGGGGAAGGGGGGAGGCGCACAGCCACCTTGGGCTGCCCCTTTCTCCTTTCCACTAAAGCCCACTAAGGCCCATATAGCTCCCGGGGGTTTCCGATAACCTTCCGGTACTCCGGTAAAATCCCGATTTCACCCGGAACACTTCCGATATCCAAACATAGGCTTCCAATATATCAATCTTTACGTCTCGACCATTTCGAGACTCCTCGTCATGTCCGTGATCACATCCGGGACTCCGAACAACCTTCGGTACATCAAAATGCATAAACTCATAATATAACTGTCATCGTAACCTTAAGCGTGCGGACCCTACGGGTTCGAGAACAATGTAGACATGACCGAGACACGTCTCCGGTCAATAACCAATAGCAGGACCTGGATGCCCATATTGGCTCTTACATATTCTACGAAGATCTTTATCGGTCAGACCGCATAACAACATACGTTGTTCCCTTTGTCATCGGTATGTTACTTGCCCGAGATTCGATCGTCGGTATCCAATACCTAGTTCAATCTCGTTACCGGCAAGTCTCTTTACTCGTTCCGTAATACATCATCTCACAACTAACATATTAGTTGTAATGCTTGCAAGGCTTATGTGATGTGCATTACCGAGAGGGCCCAGAGATACCTCTCCGACAATCGGAGTGACAAATCCTAATCTCGAAATACGCCAACCCAACATGTACCTTTGGAGACACCTGTAGTACTCCTTTATAATCACCCAGTTACGTTGTGACGTTTGGTAGTAC